GCCGGCGCCACCACCTCCGCCTGCTCAACCTCCGGTGACGGTATCTACCTCGGATTCCTGTGAAGAGCAAGTTATATCATCAAACTCATCTGCAGGGAGCACAGCGGAGCTTTTAGGAGAAAACGAACGGTTAAGATTGGAGAATTTACAGCTCAACAAAGAGTTGAACAGTATGAAGAAGCTCTGCGGCAATATATACGGTATGATGTCTAATTACGCACAGCCTTCCAGCAGCGGTAATCAATCGGCGGAGAGTAGTTCGCCGGGGTTGAAGCCACTGGATCTGTTACGGACGGAACAGTACTTAGGTGAATCACAGGTGAAGGCGGTAGAGGACGGCGAGAGCCTGGAGGAACCGGAGGCGAGATTATTCGGTTTCTCGATAGGCATGAAGCGTGTTAGGGAAGGGGAAGAAGAAAGGACCGATCATGCTCAGGATTTACAGCTGCAGCAACCTGGAACAACTGATGTTAAATCAGAAGCGTCTGATCAGGAAAGTAACGGTGAGAGTGAAGAGAGATCGTGGCTGGTACAGTGCGGTGGACGAAATCAAAGGACTTGTAATTGATAGTTTTGTTGATGTAATGAAACCTTAATTAGATTAGATTAGAGATTATATTAGCTGATCAAAATCGAAAGAGGTGATAATTACGTGGGGTGGAGAGGGGACTATGACTAATCTTGAAGAAGCTTCTTTGAGACCCTTTTTGATTTATTTTGTTACAAACTACTACAGTACTTTACTTTTGTAGCAGTAAAAAATGAATCGTTTTCCACTGCTCTCTTTTGAAAGAGCTGACGGCGGACAACAATTTGAGAAAATTGTGCAAGGAAAGTACGTTTATATCCTTGATCCTTTTGTAATTTTGCCACTGCAAAGAAAAAAGTTTATCAAAATAGTTTCTTTGAGATAATTTTTATGTTAGCAACTGAAACCCAACGAGAAGGGAATTTATTTAAGACTTGGACTTGCTGTAACGCAAAAGGGTAAAATAGTATAAAGGAGTAAATTATCATTTGATTTTTGAAGTGGTGAAATAATCTAATGGATGCTTATATTTTGTATTCTGAATCCTGCTACTCAATACTTTATCAACTAAATTTTTAAATTCGTTAAAATATTATATTTTAAACTATTTTCTCATCAGATTAGTGTGTGTAATTCAACCTCTTACACGTGTAATTTCATTTCATTTTTCAATGACACATAAGAAATTAAATATTTTTTAAAAGAATATTTAACTTTTGTAAATTCTGGAAATTTTTAAATGGTCACATTCTTCAATCTACATATATGCTCACAATTTGAGCATCAAATTCATGTCAAATAGATGAAATTCTTCTTTATTTCACTTGAAATTTCAACTACAAGTTCACTAACACAAATTCAACTAGCCCCAATCATAAATTTAAATTAATTTCACAAACCCATTTGTTGTTCTTCAAGGTTTCTCAAGCTTATCAATGAATTTTTCAAGTTTTTCAATACTCACCATCAGCCCTTTACGTTAATCAATATCATACCTCCTTTTTGAATTAATTAACACAAACAATGGTTTCAACTTTTAAAATAAAAAAACACTAAAAATTTAGAAAAATGGGGGCTGAAAAAATATTAAGGGTGGGGTTTTGATTTGTTGCAAAGAGGAGAGTGGGTTAAAGAAGAAGAAAAAGAGAATGTATGACGGATGATTTTGAAGGAAAAAAAAAGAAAAGGTGTGGTGGGTGATTTTATTGAAGAAATAGAAGAAAGTTTAGGGTTAAGGGTGGGAACAATACCGAAGAAGAAGAGAAATTAGGGTGGGGTGGGAGTGGGAGAGGGTTAATGAAAAAATAAGTTTTTTTAATTAAAAAATAATATTTTAAAATGTAATATAGTGTATTTACGCGCTTGAAAGCGAGTGTATTACATATTTTTCTAACTCAACAATATTTATGTCACATAGGTTTGGTCAATGATCAGAGGGTTTTCAAATATTATGTTTTAATAAGTTTTAGGGTCGAATTGACAAAGTATAGAGTAGAAAAGTTTAGAATACAAACACATACAAGTATAAGGGTCCATTAGATCATTACGTCTTTTAAAATTGAATAACTACTATTATTGAACCTAGAGAATATATATCGAATATCATTTATCTCATATCCAAATGCCTATTTTAAAGGAAAAAGGAAAAATGTATAAGTTGTTATAACTTCGAATTCATGGCCAAATGCCTATTAAAGAAGAAAGGAAAAATGTATTTTAGTTGTTATAAATTCGAATGTGAATGGTGAATGTCCCTTTCGTGACTTTTTTTGGTAATTTGTCTATTAAATGAATGGAATACAAGTCTGTCATGTAACTTAAAGAAGATTTTTTGTAACCTATAGTACTATTCTACTATTATCATTTATTTAGTGTGTTTAGTGGTGGCAAATGGGCGAATTGGGTTAAATTTGGGCGGGTCAAAAATGGGTCAACATAAAATGGGTAATAATTCAATCCGTTCATATTTGATATGGGGTAAAAAATGGATTGGGTAACAAATGAATTGGGTAAAAATACTAGTTTACTCATATTTTATCCATATTTTCATGAGTAAATAGTACTCTACTTAGGAATTCAACATGGAGGAAATATCTTAGTCTTTTTTAGATGAAAAATATTGAAAATGCTTCATTTAGTTTTATTGTATCATAAAAATAAAAATAAAAATCCTAACTTTTCAATATAAAATAAGTTTATGTAATAACATGGGGACAATATTTTTAATTTCCAAGTAAATGAATAGTCGCATTTAAGACTAAAACATGCTTAATGCACTTTAAGGCTTAAGCAATGTCAATACTAATACATGATTTGCTTATTTTACACTATTATTTATTATCCAATATAAAATTAAACAAATATAAAAACATAATTATAATTAACAAAAGAAATGTACATTTAAAATATATATTTTGGGAGGGCCAAAGACTTCACCTTTTCAATTATAGAGAAAAATAATTAGTTCTATAGAAGAACATAAAATGGAAGAGAAGTTACAATTTTTTTTAGTGACATCATGAATTTTGAGTGAATAAAAGTTAGAAGCTTAACCCATTTGGCTAATCCATATTTTACCCATAGTTTACCCATATTTTATCCATATTTTACCCATGTAAAAGTCACTCACCTAACCCATTAAAATATGGACGAATTAGACGAATTATCAAAATATGGGCTCATTTTGCCGGCACTAAGTGTGTTATATATAAAGTTTCAACAATGAATTAGGCTTAACGATTGTTATGATCGATGGAATTTAATTGAGTATGCTATACGAGGGAAATATTAGGCTTATATAAATATTTATTTACTTGTTAGTCACGATTCTCGAAAATTTAGTCCTTTTTGTTAACATTGGAAATACATTTTTTTTTTCGTTTTCATTTTATAAATGGCAGTGCCTATTTTTTCTTTGTTTAATTACTCTTTCTTAATTATTAGTAATATTTTCTTAATTATTTATTACTATTTGTTAATTATTTATTCTTTGTGTGTTTAATTGTTTATTCTTTTATTTAATTATTATTTCCAAAGTATGTAGGTCTGTAGCTATTATTAATGTGTTATTTAGCCATTTAATATTTACGTTCATTTGCTAGATTGTTTATTATAATATAGTAGTTAAACACATAATTAATTGAAAGACTATTATTTAGTTAATTGATTTAGGGTGAACCCATTTATTTAATTTGTTTTGCATATGATACATGGCAAGTGGTAACTATGATTTAGTTAAAAATGATTAATTAATTAATCATTCATTAGTTAAATTAGTGTTGACGTTTAACAAATGATAAGTATGATCTTTTTTTAGAATAGGCGAAATGGTCTGGTGGACCCATATACTTGTATCCGTTTGTATTTTGAACCCTTCTACTTATAACTTTGTCATCTGGACCCTTAAACTCAATAAAACACAATTTAACAAACCCCTTTGACCGTTGACCAGGCTTATGTGGCAGTAAGACGTCTGAGTTGGCAAAAGTGTGTAACTACACGCCTATTAAGGCGAGTGAGGAGCATTTTTACTTGAAAAATACTTAAAATTATAAAAAAATTAATTTTTTAAACCATTAATTTAAAAAACTCCTTCTTCATCCATTACACCTCATTTCAGCCATATTCACCCCTTGCCCAACCCATTTTTTTCTTTTTTTCCACAATCTATTTTTCGGCTAGATTTGATGTGTTGGCTTAGGTTGTTGGTTTTGTGAGGTTGGAGAAGAAAAGGAAAATGGTCGTGACGTGTGGCGGAGATGAAGGCAGGTAAAGGAAGGAATATGAGTGGTTTCGCCGGCAACAATGGCGATGGCAGCGATGGTTTGGGCCATGAAACAATGGGAAGGGGAGAAACTATAATGGGTAGATTTCGACGAGTTTCACGGCATAGGTTGGTGTGAAATTGTATTTGTAAGCAATTTGGGGTGTGAGGATTACGAAAAGCTTGGCCAGATCTGGTTGTGCGGTGGCTAGATCTGGTTGTGCGGTGATTTAGGTTGTTGTTACTGTGGAGGTTGGAGGAGGAAAGAAAAATAGTGATGGTGTGCGGCGGAGATGAAGATGGGTGAGGGAGAAAGTATATGTGATTTCGCCGGCAAAAATGGCGACGACGCCGGCGATGACTTTCTTTTGGTCGTGAAATAGGGAGAATTAGAAATGCCAATAATTAATTAAAATGTTATTATTTTACATTTTATTAAATAATTTTGGTTAGTAATTTTTAAAAATAGTTATGAAATAATTATGATGTGGCATTAATATATATGACGTGGATATGACATGTCAATTATATAAAGGAGAGTGGGCTACACACATGGTTGGAGGGGTCTTAAAAGTCTCTATTTTAATTGAGTTTAAGGGTCCAGATGACAAAGGTATAAGTAGAAGGGTTCAGAATACAAACTGATACAAGTATAAGGGTTCACCAGACCATTTCGCCTTTAGAATACACAGGTAAATATGATTCTATAGATGAATGAAAAAAGCAAATTTATTGAAAAGATATAACGAAGAACAATTATGGCCTATTTGTAAGTATATAAGGATAAATATAACTCTTTTCCGTAATTTATATTTTACATTTTTATTCATACTAATATGATCTAATTCAACGCAATACATTTTTTATTCAACTCACTCAAAATCCAACCAAATACATTCATTTAAAACCTCTGAGACTGACCCATTTCTGAAAAGAGATGGATACTGGGATTGATAAGTGTTTTTGATGCTCTCTCCGTCCATTTTTACTTATCCTCTATAATATTTGTTCACTTTATAAAATCAATAAATAATTTATTATTTTATATCCATTTTTATCTTTGCTATTAAATACTATTGATTTTTCAATGATTAAATGACTTATATTAAATAAAAATGTTTTGGTAAAATAACTCGTATCATTTAGTGCTTTTGAATCCTTATGTCAAGTCAATAATGGATAACTATTATTGGATAGAGGAGTATTGTCCTTATTGATTTTCGCTCAAAATCATACAGTGTAAAGAGATCATGTATGCCTGACGTCTCACGTGGGATCAGTGGCGTAGCTACATGGTTGTCATGTCCATTGGACACCTTTCGTCGGAAAAAAAATATCATATATATAAATAAAATGATACACGAAATGATTAAATAACATATTTTGGACACCCTTAACACAATAAGTTGTTATACGCTAGTGATTTCAAATCCTTGAAATGAAATAGTGATCGTGTGTTTGAATCTCACTAACAACAAATTTTCTGGTCACCCTTTATGAAATTTAGAAGGGAAAGAGTGGTGGTAGGTGGAGACATGTTTGTTACAAAATGTAATTAGCAGGATTCATTAATTTTGTTGGGTAAGGTGACTAATTTGTACCTAA